TCTATAGAGAGAGTTCCAGGACAGCCAGAGCTACACAGAAAAATCCTGTTTTGAGAACACGAACAAATAAATCTTTAATAAATAAATGGACCTGATTATCAATGTGTTTTTATTTTGTTCTTATCCACTTAATCTCAATTGCCATTTTAATCCCATTGAATAGAATCCATTTTAATAATTTACTTGCCATGGAACAAAGGTATTAACCCCCTTGTCATCTTATTTGGAAATAAACACTCAGAACTCATCTAGAAAGCCAACAACCAACTAAAGAATTTTTTAGTTTGGTGGGAAGTGATTTTAAAACCAACTGGACTCAAACAAGAGTGGAAAATACCAAGATCAAAGAAGAGTAGAAATATTGTAAACATTGGAATCATAGGAAGGAAAACATAAAATGAATCCAAATGGCCTCAGATTCTTTTAAGAAGGAAGGAGGAGGGAGAGACCCAAAAAAGAAATGTTTAGCTATGAAGTCAAACTTCAAATAATATTCTAAGAGTTTAGTAATGAAATTTCATCTGTTTTCTGAACAATCCTTCTAAAACTAGTAAGAGGCTAGAGACCAGCTAAACCTTGTCTCACTATCTGCTTGGGTTGTTTTTATACAACTTCTTGTCCATATTCTTTTGGCAGACATTTTTTTCCCTAATCAATTTGCTTAGAGTTGGGGAGAAAACTAGGCTAGGTATGAAACAGCCAGTATGGAAACAGCGATGAAATTTTGCATTGTTACATAGGTCATTTATTTGTTCTTTGTGCATTTCATGCTGCAACATTTGGCTGGTTACCTGCATGCTCAAAAAGAAATATACCAATGGTTCCCAAAGTGTGTTCTTCAGACTAGCATTGCCTGATACCCTCATCTGAAATCTAATTACAAAATACATTCCTCTCCTACAACCCCAAACTTACCAAACAGCAGGTCACAGCAGTTTGTTTTAAGAAATCGCGCATCTCCAAGGTATGCACACCAATATTTAAGACTTGGTCCCTGTGTGTCAGTCACTGTAGCTGCATCTCGATGTCACTGTCTGTACTGCTGCTACAAATTGAATTGTGACCTTCCAATTATATATTATAATTATTTTTGTTAGTCAGATCTTTCTATGGTAACTAAGGTCAAAATGATAACAAGAATGAATCCTATTAAAGTTTGTCTGTGGCTGTCCTCCTCAGGAAAAACAGGGGCATAGATGTTCAAAGAGGGATGGCCACATGAAGACAAGGGGAAAAGACACATCTACAAGACAAGGAGACAGACCCTAACCATACACTGATCCTTCTAAGCTTCTGCAAACATAAGAAAAAGTCCAGCTAACGTCACTGGCTAGGCTCATTGTGGCTCTTTGCCACAACAGGTCCAGCAAGCTAAATACCTTCCTATCTCACCACAAACCATGTGATGTGAATAGCAGTGTATAATGGTGGCAATTCAAGTTTGAGTTCTCTGAAGTGAGTCCAATGACTAGATTGCTTACTAGACAGGAGCCACGGGCAAGGTGCAAGCCTTTGTAAGGGTTATAGCACTGACATTTAAAGCTGTTTGATATGGTGGACTTCTGTAGGGGAAGTGAGGCTCAGATAAAAGAACCAGAAATGACACAGATGAGTGGGCATGGGATGAGTAACTAAAGCATAAAAAGAAAATTGAAGTGCTCACCACGTAACAACAAATATCAATGGAGAGTCCCACATCTGTACGACTTCCTAAAGCCAACTAACCTTTTGTGATGAATATTAGCCCATGCTTATCACAAAGCCATTTAAAGTTTCAAGCCAGCCAAAGCTTTTAGACAGCATGCAGCTCATACTGATGCAAGTAATAGTATATACATATTATTATCGTTTACTCTTTTACTACAAGTGTGAATAGCACAAAACCCATTCCTTCACATAACAAAGGAACCACTAATTTCTTCTCCAATTGAAAAGTGTGAGTAATGAGTTGAAGTCCAACACTATTTACCAAGTGAAAAACCCTTCTGAGAACCGGGTAATGAATTAAGAAAATGTACAATCCCAGTTTTTATATTCAGATCCTAGAAAGCAGTTCATAAGCAGGCAACCCAGCATTTCAATAAAATCTCATTTTATATATTAGTGAGTACCCTTATTTAGCTCCTAACCTCACATTCAGCACAAAAACAAGACAGAATGAACTTTTAAGACTGAAAATGAGAAAATAAAACTATTTTCTGCATAACAGATACTCATTTATGTGCGAGTTAGTATCTAGGAATTTTCTGCTTCATATACAATTAAAAGATACATTCTGTCTTTAGAGTATTTCTGTCATCTCATGAAGCCCACCAGCAAATAGCAAGTTTTCTGTCGGTACCCACAACTAATTCAATTCAGTATGCTCTCTTGGAAAAAAGTGATATGCCTTTTATCCCATTTTCATTAAACAATTACAAAGACTTTAAAAAGGTCTGACATGTTTAGTGCTTATTTGCCTGTAAGAATGTTATTCTCCAGAAACCAGTGTTTGGATAGTGTGTGAAGGTACGTACAGTAGGAGACCTCATGAGACAGATTATAAATGTCAAAACAGAGCTTACACACTCACATCTGTGAGCTTGTTGGAGACATTTCTACTATTTATTATATGAATAAGAACAAATTCAGTTTACACACTGATAACTCAGGAGTTATCAGTGAGTACTTCCCTCCATTGCTCATTACCCAACACACTGTGCGATAGGTCAGCTTATTACCCAACATAACAGCGACAAGGACAGTTTTGGATTCAGGTATACATTAATTTTTTTTCCAATTTTTTATATTTACACTATCTGTTTAGCCTCATCTCAAGATCAGTTAAATTGCCCAAAAAGTAGGCTTAGAGAGTATGGATAAATTACCCAAAATCTGTAGAGATTAACTCCTTTGCCACTTCCCGGAGCCTTGCCCCCACCACACTATGATGTCACAGCATGGTCTCATTGCAGGTGCACATGGGCAGGGTGACAGCATAGCCATGAAAGGGGCTCACAGAGAAGGGACCCGGGGCCTCAGAGCAAGTTCTTCTCTGTGTCTTTCCCCAGCTGAAATGCACAGACATGTGCGCTGCCGAGCTTCCCCAACTACGACGAGGGCAGATGGAGACTGGCTTCTTCGTGTTGCAGTTTATAGGATGCCAATGCCTTATTGCTATTGGAAATAAATATCGGTTCTGAAAATAAGTGAACCATCCAGAAGTTTTTCCAAGCTGTAAGTGCTCTTGAAATTCAACATGATAACATTTATGTAATGTAACAGCAATCACAAACTGTAATGGCTTTTTACAATCATATGCATTATATATACATGTGCACATACAATACATAGACACACAAATTCATACACATAATACATTTACACTTGAACACACATACATACATGTATACATATGTACACCACAATAACCAACACGTGGTTGTCAGCTTAAGTTTAAACTGGGCACAACCTTTTACAATGTCAGGTCCAATTTGCAGAAGGACATTGTTGTCTATTATCTGACACATTCTCTACATGAGAATCAATTTTATTGTTGATGTTCTTATTGTCTTTAAGTTACGATTGTTGTATAATTATAGTATGTATTCCTTGCAAATTCACTACAAATAATTTCCTTTATGTCTTCAAAAGGCTATTTGCTGATTTTCTTTGAATTTACTCATGAGAATTTACCAAAATCAGTAATCATAGCTAATGTAAACTATCAACCAAAAGCAGAAATTTATAAAGGTACTAATTTAGTTTTATTAAATTCTCAGAATTTCTAGAATCCGAAATCATGTTTACAGATAAAAGCTAGTTTCGGAGGCTGAAGGAACAGCTTAATAGTTAAGAGCACTGGCTGCTCTTCTGGAGGACCTGGGTTCAATTCCCAGCACCCCCATGGTAGCTTACAACAATCTGTAATTCCAGTCCCGTGGGATCGGATGCCCTTTTCTGGTCTCAATAGGCGCCGGAAAGATACATGATGCCCAGAAAGGCATTCGAGCAAAACACCCATACACATAGCAAAGGAGGGGGGAAGTAGTATTTTTAAATACAGTCAAACTTGATGAAAGCAAGAACTTTTTAAATATAAAAATGCATTTCTTTGTCAAACATAACCACTAACCCTGGTCACCAGTGAAGCTACAATGCTCCGGATGACTACCGAAACCAAAACTCTTTCTGTTGAATTACACAAACAAGAAAAGAAGTGTGAATTATGACTGGGAAACTTGGGGACAGAGTCTTGTCTCTTGGTCTCTGGTTAACTACAACAATAGGTCTCCAACTCAGCCTAATCTCAGATCCTTCCCCTCCACACTGATAACTCGGGCCTTTGAAAATGTGGTCCAGCAGATTCGGTGAAACTGCTGTCAACAGAACTCCCTATGCCTGTGTTTGTAAAGCAGAAACACACTAGCTGCAGACAGACTTTGTTTGATTGGTTTTCTTTTATTCTCTGACACAGAGATGACATCTCAGATAAAGCAATATTTGCCCTGTGTTTGGCATGTACCACTGGGATCTAGATGGTTTACAGAGCCCACGATGAGGCTTAGTGGGTGTGCTACCAGGAGCTGAATCTGAGCTAAGATCAAGCCTATGTTTCTCTACAATTTTCAGAGGAAAAGAAGATCACTTAAACACTGATAATCAATTACTTTATAGAAAAAAATTCTTCAAACAATAATTGGCCTTCATAAAAACCAGCGCAAGCAAGGACACGTGTCAGTTGTGACAAAAACGGCCATGCTCACCAGCCTCACTGGGTCAGGCTGACCCAGCAGATGTAGTGGTCTTCACAAGCCACTGTGCATCCCACATGTCATGGTCACGCAGACATTGACCAAGGGCATGTGGACTGGTAAACCGACAAGAACCACACACACAAACAACTGAGTCTTTTGTCATTTTGAGCCTAGCCTATAAGTCAATGAAATGACCATTTCATGGTATAGGTAGCATTAAGGTATCTTGGAAAATAGGTAAAGTTCATTGGCATCGGGCTTCAATAGATTCATTTATTCCAAAAACACAAGTCACACAACTAAACTCAAAAGTTGCGTTCCACTCAACTCCACTGCATTGTAACCGTCTACCTCCTGTTGACAAAAACAAGTGAAAATGCACAACCATGCAGCAGCCAGTACAACAAATTCAGAAGCTGTGTCCCTCCAGTGTACTCCCGATCCATACACCGCAGTCCAAATTTTCCAGTTAGGCTATCGATCTGATTGACTGAGATGTTTCCAAAACTCCCCCCGATTTCCTTCCAGCTCTGCATCGACCTACAGTCCTGCTTCACTAGATGCTTGCTGACTCTCCTTCTCTGCCACTGGAGACTCAGAAATAGCGGCGACCTTTAAGGAATTCTTGATGGAGCTGAGCTCCCAGATGTGCAAACTGATGATGTGCACCCCGCAGCAATGACTGGCAAGCTTATACAGGTTCTTAAGGACGGCCTTCCGCAGCAGAATATAGACCCAGGGGTCTAAGATCTGATTCCACGTTGCCATACGGAGAGCAAAGAGTGTCGTTTCACAGGTCACTGGGGAATTGTTTCCATTTATTGCAATGTTGGCCATTGTTACCTAGAAAACAAGCAAAACAGGGAAAGCTGTTGGTCACAGGCATTGCTTTGGTCCCATAGTTTTCAACTTGACTACAGATGTGACATGACCTTTGTACCGCATCCCACAAAGCACTGCTATTTTGAAAAATACTGGGGAAATACGGTGTAAACTGTGCATGCGATTTTAATTCAAATTGACATGAACACTACAAAAATGATATTCCATTGTATAAAACAGACTCATGGGGGAACAAATATTGATATCAGCAACTAGCCTTATACTTCTGGGAATACAAATTTTAAATAAATACACATTTGCTTATTCAATAGAAGATGAAAGCATAGTTAAACAAATAAATTATACATAAGTTTTTAAAACAATGAACTTTGCTGGACACTGTAATACTGGTATTCTAAGAATCATGAGTTCATGGCCAGTCTGAGTTGCATAGAGAATCTCTGTCTCAAAAAGAAAATAAAAAAGAACTTTAGAATTTCCCTTTAAGTAGCTACAATATTACCAGCCTCTTCACCTGATACCAACAATCCTACTTTTCTTCATCTCCCATCTTTACTCAGCATACATTCCCAGGAGTCTGCATGGAACTTTCCAAAGGCTTTGTAGAAATGACTCTCTACATCAAAGATGGCTTAGCCATAACAATGTCTATTTTGGTGTCCTGTGTCCATTTTGCGTATACATTGTTGTAAAGACCATTTGTGGGACTGGTCGTCATCCTATATTAAAATAAGACAAATCACCAAGTCTAGCTTTGACTACCACACACGAAGTACCAAATAAGAGAATATTGAAAATATCCTGTCTATGAAAATGGATAACAAATAAATTAATAGAAGATAATTCAGAAAAATTATAACTACATTTGGTCCATTGAGCCATCTGGATTACAAGATTATAGAGCAAACCTGAACATTCTAAATGAAAAAATACCAAGACTGCTGTAGGAAAGAGAGGTCTCTGTCCACATCAATGGCATCAATGTCTGAAGGGTGGGGCCCTTCAACCAAGCCTTCATTGTCCTTACAGCACACTCCACAGTGGCTGCTGCATGATGCACCCAAAACTTGACCCTCACAACCTCAGATCACAGGGACAAACCCTCTGCTCTCACTGCTTGGGAGGCCTCACTGGTCCCAGGAGTATAGCACCCTTCTGAGCATCAGCTCAAATTGCTTTTCTTTTAAAATACTCTGCCATATTTTTCTGGTCACTAATTCCTACCTATTCTACAACCTTCACCTAAGAATAGTCTCACCTCTCTTTCATCATCCCATCAAAATGAGTTTGGAGCTGAGGTGCTTCTGGTTCCTATCCATGCCTACTTAGCCACTCACAACACATGCCAATCCTGAACTGATCTATTCATTTGTGAGTTCTTTTTATTTCTATTACCGAGTACAAAGTCGACACTTAAAATGTACCTCATAAACTCATTCACGTTTTTATTCCTCGAGGCTGTGCCTCACAGGCCAACTGATCACCGGAGAGACCTTGGCCCTCTCCTCACAAAAGTCCAGTATTTTGAGCCACTTAAACTTTCTCAGTGCTTCTGCAGCAGCATAAACTAATGGGGATTGCAGGGTAGTTTGATACCCCTCAAAAGAAACAGGATCTTCATCCCAAGCAGATCCTTTGGGAAACAGCTTCCTTTCCAGGAAAATAATGAATCCAGCTGCAGACCTAAATGTGCTGCAACCAACGAAATGAAAAGTGTATCTTGCAGAGAGCCCCTGGATCAGACGCAGCCTCCGTTACTGCTTCCCCTAACCATGCAATATGACCGAAGAAACCTACCTATAGGGGTCTCAGTCTTCGCAGAAAAGGGCCAGGACTTGATGGGCAATTGGAATGCGGTGTTTTCACTTTGCTTTTCATCTTCACTCATCCAATACCCATTTACCTCCTTCGGCCAGGCATTGAGCACAGGCTGCATAAAGCAGACACTGTGAAATCTGTCACCTGTCTGTGGGAATCTTATCATATTGGTTTTGGTTCAAGAACGAATGAGTAAATATTTATCTTGCCTTACAAATATAAAAAGCATATACTTTCTATTAGTGAATAAACCATGCCCCTGGTATCTCAAAGCTCAGCCAGACACAGCCCTGTAAATTTGGGAGCAAACGTTTTCCATGCGATCGCACCAAAGAGCCAGGCTTGTGCTGGTGACACGCACATTGAGAGAGCCTGTGACATGGCGGCCCCCCTCTGACTGGCCTCTCTCCTGGAACAGTAGTTTGACCACCAGATGACTGCGAAGAGGCAGTCAGTCATCTGCTGAAAGAGCCCATGTCCTAGCCTCTCTCTAGAACACAGATCCAGTGCCCAGCCATTCGTCACTCTGCTTTACACGGTAGCCTCAGCCATGAAGAGCAGTTACTCCAGGGCCGGATCATTAGTTAGTCATCAAGAAAAATATAGGCAGACTATTCCTGTAAACGAAAACACCAATTATGATGTTATTGATAATAGTACATCACTGATGGTTTAGAGCAATCATGGTATCCAACAAAGGATAAATTGTGGTCATAATGGACTATATGCAGGAATTGGTGTTGGGATTTAGTGTTAGCATAAAGAAAGTAAGGCACCAAATGATTTTTATATGATCTCAATTCTGAAAAAGAAATGGCATTTTATGCATGCAATAAAAATAGAGGTATTTATCAATGTTTCGTTGGTTTTCCTTTGTTTTTTTGTGTAGTTTAATAATATTTTAGTGGGTTCACACATTGCTTTATTAAGCAGTACCTCTCCCAGCTCTGGGAGTTTGTGGAAATAACAATTTGATTAAAGAATAAGAACACATGGGGGCTGAGTCCATGTTAGCTAAAGTTTTGCTATGGAAAATATTAAACCAACATATATTCTGTGTTTGCATGTGTGTTGACCTGAGTCAGGACTCCAATGGCCATTTAGAAGTGAAAGCAGTGGTAAACCAGACATGATGACACAGAATCCCAGCACTTGAAAGGCTAGACTCAGAGTATCTCAAGTTTGAGGGCAGCGTGGGTTACATCACAAGAGTAAGCAAGCCTGAGTTATGTGGTAAATCCTTGTCCCCAAAACAGAAGACAAAATCAAACAGTAACGGCAAATTTCAAAAGTGTGTTTATGTTTCTGTCTCTTTGAGCTTCCAAGAAACAGACTAATCTAGCAGTGAATGGATCTCACTGCAGACTGTCCAGGTGTTATGTCCAGGTGTTATGCAAGCTTGCCATGATACTGAAGCAACACTTAAGAAAAATCTTTTTAAACAAATGATTAACTTAGCTTTGTTTTCTAGCCAATCATCACACTAAATTATTGTCATCTCAAGTGCACATTCTTTTGTCTGACCAATTTGAGACTCTTGTCTAGCACCTGACTTACACTAGGATAATCGGGTTTTGTTGGGTGAATTGGGACGTATAACATCTCTAAGTGGAGAGACAAACATGATGCAGTTATAATACTGCATGTAGCCGGGCGGTGGTGGCACATGCCTCTAATCCCAGCACTCAGGAGGCAGAGGCAGGCAGATCTCAGTGAGTTCAAAGCCAGCTTGGTCTAGAGTGAGTTCCAGGACAACCGGAACTGTTACACAGAAAAACCCTGTCTCAAAAGCAAACAAACAAATAAAAATGCTGCATGTAGCACAGTAAAGATAGGGAAGTTGCTACAAGGAGTGCTGTTTATAAACACCAGCATGAAAATACATTTGTCTTTGGAAGTTGCTACACGGAGGGCTGTTTATAAACACCAGCATGAAAATACATTTGTCTTTGCAATGTTGTACTGCATTAGCTCATCAGTTGTTCCAGCTTAACTAATTTAAAGAGCTGGAGCTGCAGCTGAGTGGTTAGACACTTGCAGAGCAAGCATGAGATCCTGGAACTGACCAGCGCACATGAGAACAAAAATGCTGCTATTGTTTGAGCCGTTCTGAACTTCGCATCCTTCAGATGTAGAATTGATTTTTTCTTTGGCACAGCATTTTTTAAATGATTTAAGTGAATATATAATCAAATCATTTCCTGGAGAAATGCCCTATTCTTAGATACCAAGGCCTTTGTGGAATGGTCACAAGAGTGCTTTCCATATGAATGACGTTTGTGAAAATTACATAGAGTTCTCGTCTAGTCATTGAAGCAGATTAGGCAGGCTGGTTTTATGTCAACTTGACACAAGCTTGCGTCATCCGAGAGCAGGGAATCTCAACTGAGAAATTCGCTTCATAAGATCTGACAGCAGGCATGCATATAGGGCATTTTCTTAGTGATTGATGGGACAGGGCCTGCCCATTGTGGGTGGTGGTCCTGGGTTTATAGGAAAGCAGACTGAGCAAGCCATGGGGAGCAAGCCAGTAAGTAGCATCCCTCTGTGACCTCTGCATCAGCTCTTGTCACTGGGTCCTCTCCTCTGAATTCCTGCCCTGAGTTCCTTCGGTGACGAACTGTTACATGGAAAAGTAAGTGAAATAAACCTTTTCCTTCCTGTGTTGCTTTTGGTCATGGTGTTCTTCACAGCAATGGAAATATAACCAAGACAGGAGTTTTCACCAGGCTTGACTTCACATCATAGTTTATCTTAACCTAAGCAGATCATTCTTTCTCTGTCAGCTTTAGAGAAGGCTGCTCAGTCCTCCAACAGATCACTTGGGTATAAAGAAGCACAACCCACTGGTTGCCAAACTATCATCCTTCATAACGTTGTCACCTGAGGGTAATCTTCACATTTTACTCTTAAGTACAGAAAGCTGATCATGACGACTCAATGAGAACCCAGTCTCACATATAATAAAAGAAACTCTTCCCAGTATGATGTGGGATTCCCCTCTGTACGCTGTGAATATGTTTTATTACCATTTGTTAAAAGTTTCCGTAGATGCAAGTAGGCACCATGAAGAACTGAGCTGAAGCGTGAATTGCTGCTGGCTTTTCACCTTGTCCTCTTATACTCTTTCTGTCGCGTCTCAGAATCACCCATCAAATGTAAAATCTTAATTTAAGGGTTTT